CTCGCTGTGCGGCGGGCTCCTGGCGGCGGCGCGGTGCCCGGGTGGGAGCGAGCGCGCGGCCAAGGGCGGAGGCGTGAAGCCACCTGAGCCCCAGGTGGGGAAGCGGAGGGCCCCAGCTCCAGCCCCGGCCCCGCGTCGGGACCGGGGGGCCGTGGGAACCCTCCAGGTGCCCCGGGGCTGGAGCCTGAGGCCGCCCCTCCCCGCCGCGAGATGAAAGGCCGCCTTCTGTCCCTTTTGGTCCCTCTGCGCTCGGGCCAGATGTGGGCCAGCTGTGTGCCCGGCCCGCCTCCCCGGCACACGGCGACCCCCTCCCGGGCCCTTCCCACGGGCCCGGCCGGCCCCTCACACGAGCGGGGGCGGCAGGAATGCGCGCCTGCTGCCGGGTGGGGGTGGGAGCGAGGGGCCCGGAAGTGGTCGTTACACCCCCTGCTCCCTTAGCGCCCCGCGGGAGCAGGGTCCGAGCCCCTGCCAGCCGCATCTTCCGGAAGCACAAGCCAGGCGGCTCTCCGCTTGGCTGCGCCGCGTCCTTTCCGAAGGAGGGGTCCCCTCAGCCACCACCAAACTCATGGTCTGCCCTCGGCGCTCTCTCCGTCCGCCGCATCTGTCGGTCTGTCCCAGGGTATCTCCAGCTACTTGTATAACCCTTTGGGTCGGTGTCGCGTCACAGAATGCTGACTGCAGGCCAGCTGCCGCCTACAGGAGGGTGAGCATAGGGGGTGTCCGCACCCACAAAGCGCCGACCCTCCGAGCAGCACGCACTTCACCAAAGAGGCTGTGGCCCGCTTGCTCTTAGGGCCCGGGGTGCCCAGCTTCAGGGGTGTGAAGGGGGGGCGAGGAAGACAAGAGGGGCTCTCAAGCCTCTTCCAGCCCCCCCCCCCCCAGGTAATTAGCAGGCGCCACCTCAGCCAGGCAGATGCTGGAGCACATGGTGCTGGCTGTGCCCAAGTGACAAGTCTCCCATGGCGTCACCTCCTGCCATAAACCCCTCCTGCCCCCCACCAGAGCCCAGGCCGGGGGGCCCCCAGGCAGCTGCAGAGGCCGGGGGGGTGGGCAGGGGGGAGAATCTGGCGGCTGGTTGGACAGCTCCCAGCCCCACTCCCAGCTCCACCAAGTGGAGGGTGACCAAGTCCTTGTCCCCACACTGAGCTTTGTCTCAGCCGGGCCTCTGCCACCCCATCCTCCGGCCCCTGGGCCACTTTGGCGGCCCCACCCTGGTCTCCCTGCCCTCAGGCGTATCTGCCCTGTTTGCTCTGCTCAGCAGTGGGACTCCTCACCCCCAACCCCCATCAAGTCAGCTGCCCACAGTTCAAGGCTCGGTTCCACGTCCCTGAACTGTTGACTGGCTCCCAGTCTCGTTTCTTCTGTTGCCTCCAATCCCTCATGGTTGTCACCAGATAGTCCCCACACTACCAAGCCCCCAAACCTTTACATAGGCTAGTGGAACGGTGCTTACAGCATTTGGCTCCTAACCCAAAGGTGGGTAGTTCAAACCCACCAGCCACTCCGTGGAAGAAAGATGAGGCTGTCTGCTTCCGTAAAGATGGTACCTTGGAAACCCTGTGGGACAGTTCTACTCTGTTCTGTAGGATAGCTGTGAGTCAGAATCAACTCAAGGGCAGTGGGTCGGGGCTTTGCTTCCGGAAGACTGACAGCTTTGGAAAGTGTGGGCCAGTTCCATTCTGTCCTAGAGTGTCGATATGAGTCAGAATTGACTTGATTGCAATGAACATGTTAACTGAACATCCTCAAAGACCCTCTGTCCAACAGGGTCATGTTTAGGGAATGGAGTTTATTCCTCAGCGGTTCACCCCTAGCACACCCCGGAGTTCCAGTTATGAATCGATGAACATTCTGCAGGAGGCCGGAGAGAGAACAAGGAGCAGCGGGCACCCGTCCCCCACCTGTGAGTCAGCCCCCAGCCCTCGGAGTGGCCCTGCTCCCCCCGCTTGGCCCCCAGCTCCAGGGCTCCTTGCTGGCTGCCGTCCTGGGCAGCGGGCACATCATGTCTGGGGCGCAGAATACGCACTGAGGTGCAGGAAGGAAGGGCTGCTGCGAGGGGCTGGCGGGCCTGGCAGGCCCACTGCCTGTAGCGGGGTGGGGGCTTCCCGCGCCTCTCTGCAGCCTGGCTTTGGTGGGAACAGAGGGACAAGGCCTGGCAGCGTCCTCGTGGGGGCCAGGCTTTGGCAGGCGCAAGTCCACTGCTTTGCTGTCAGGAGAATGGAATTTCGTGGTGACGACTTGAGGTCCGCAGGCGGGAGGGGGCCCGCTAGCCAGCCTGCCCCTTCCCCCACACTCAGATCCAGCACAAGTCATCCACCTCCCCCAGGCCTGAAAGCCCCCTCCAGGGACCCCCTGGGCCCCGTAGCCTGGGAGGGGGCAGAGGGGGCTCCTCAACCCCAGGACGAGAAATAGGGACCCGGGAAAGGGATTGGCAGGGCTGACCTTAGGAAGCGCCTACAGTCCTCGGGGTGATGGGCTCAGCTGGAGCTCATGGGGACAGCCTGGGGGCAGAGAGGCCCTTGGACCCAGGTTACCTGCCTTTAAATGCCAGAGGGCCCCTTCTCTGCTAAGACCTCAGATCTGTGATTTCAGGTAGAGCCACCATGGATTTGCAGGGATAACCTGGCCTGGGGCAAAGGCAGGCTCAATGCAGTGCCTCTCAGGTGCCTGGACTCTCAGGTGACCTGGCCATTGAAGGTGGGTGGAGAGCTGGGTGAGGGTCAGGGGACTGGCGTGAGCAGAGGCCACACTGGGCAGGAAAGTCCTTAGGGCCTCCCAGGCCCTGTGGTGTCCCTGTCTGGTCTGCTCAGCACTCTTTACCTGCAGAAGGTCAGCCAGGAGCCCGCCACAGGACCCTGGGGCATTGGGTCGAAGCATCAAGCTGCCGCTACCTGTCCTCCAGGAGCTCTGGTGGCGCAGTGCCTAAGGCACTTGCCTGCTAACCAGAAGGTTGGCGGTTCAAACCCACCAGCCACTCCTCGGAAGGAAGCTTGGGCAATCTACTTCCATAGTGATACTGCCTCGGCAGCCCAAGGAGGGGTCGCTATGAGTCGGGGCCAACTTGACGGCACACAACAACCACCACCACCACCTGTCTTCCACGGTCTGTTTCTTGGGCCAAGGCCAGCCTGGCCTCCCTCGAGGTCCTGAGAAGATCTGTGGAGACATAATGGGTGAGCCATTAACTCAACGTGAAGTCATCCGAGGCGGCTGTCCCTGTGGTCTGCCTGCTCAGTGTCCGGGAATGAACCGTCTCCCACCCTAGCAGCAGGGAGGTGAACCAGGAGTTGGGGGCCTCACTTTCCTGTGTGAAAAACAGAAGGTGCCTGCCCTCCAAGGAAGGACCTGGTGGTGGGGAGCCTCCCAAGTGTCAGGGTGCCTGTCAGCTTCCTAAGGGCGGGGGCCTGGATGGGGTGTTCGGGGGGGGGGGACCAGCCTGGGGCTTTGGGGTAAAGAATTGGGGTTAGCCGGGGGGGGGCAGCTTGTTCATGCCACAAAGCTGGGCTCTCCCGGCAGGAGGGAGAGGACCTGGGTAGCAGCTGAATCCAATTACTGCAGCAGGGTGGGCACTGTCCCTGTGAGAGAGCAGGCAGCCTCCAGCTGCCACCACTCCACCCAGCCCTGCCTGTCTGCCCAGAATCCTAGACCCTGACCCACGCCCTGGGTGGTCTTGGGCCCTTCCACAGAGACCTTCCCTGTGGGCCTCAGTATTTGACTCCCTGGTATGACAGGGACTGGCTTTGCCTTTCCACCCCCAGGCCCAGCGCTGGCAGTGTGGCCAAGCTGTTAGGGTCCAGCTGGTGTGGCCCAGGTGCTGCCCATCTGCACAGATGTAGCCTTCAAGACAGGCCTGCAGGCTGGCTCCCCCAGGAAATCTTCCTTAGTTTCCTGTGGGGCTCCCCCATTCTGGTACAGAACACACAAGGTTGTAACTGCCCGTTCACCTGTCTGCCTTCCCAACCTGGCTGTTCCTTTAGCCTGGGAGCTCCATGAGGGCAGGACCACTTCTTTTAAGGCCTGATATTAAAGGGGTGTTCATCTGGTTGAGCAGATGATAAAGGGATGGATGGATGGATGTTGGGTGGATGGATGAGTAGGTGGGTGGATGGATGGTGGATGGTGGGTGGATAGATGGATGGTGGATAGTGGATGGATGGATGGATGGATGGTGGGTGGATGGATGGATGGGTGGGTGGGTGGATAGATGGATGATGGATGGTGGGTGGATGGATGGTGGGTTGGTGGGTGGATAGTGGATGGATGGATGGTGGATAGTGGATGGATGGATGGTGGGTGGATGGATGGATGGTGGATAGTGGATGGGTGGATGGATGGATGGATGGTGGATAGTGGATGGGTGGGTGGGTGGATGGATGGATGGTGGATAGTGGATGGATGGATGGTGGGTGGTGGATGGACGGACGGATGGGGGTGGATGGGTGGATGGTGGATATATGGGTAAATAGACAGATGGCGGATGGACAGATAGATGGACAAAGGGACAGAGAGATGGCATATGGATGGCTGATGATGTGACTGGAGGGCAAACACACTGTCTGTGGACAGTGTTTGGAACAGAACCTGGCATTTACTAAACCACAACAACAACAAAAACACCAAACTCACTGCCGTTGAGTCAATTCAACTCATAGCAGTCCATCCTCGGGTTTCCAAGGTGGTATCTCTACAGAAGTAGATTGCCCAACCTTCCTTCCGAGGAGTGGCTGGTGGGTTTGAACCACCAGCCTTCTGGTTAGCAGTCAAGTGCCTTAGGCACTGCACCACCAGAGCATTCACTAGGCACTTGATAAATACTTGGCAGACGGATGGGTGGACGGGTGGACCAACGGATGGATATGCAGACATTCAAGGAGATCTGGTGGCATAGTGCCTAAGGCATTTGACTGCTAACTAGAAGGTTGATGGTTCAAATCCACCAGCCACTCCTCGGAAGGAAGACGGGGCAGTCTACTTCTGTAAAGGTTCGCCGCCTTGGAAACCCAGCAGAAGTCACTGTAAGTCAGAATCGACTGGATGGCAGTGGTTTTTTTTAAATATGCGAACATCCAGAGGGCTCAAAGCACGTCCCCACCTCCTTCTCCTCAACACCCACTTCTGGGAGAGCAGAGGTCTCTGGGTGGGAAGGCCTGGCACAGCTGCCCACTGAAATCTGAGCTGGCCCTAGGGGGCGGGATGGGGGCGGGCAAGGTGTCAGGGCCAAGAGCCTGTGGACAGTCCCCAGTGACCATTCACTGCATGCCAGCCCCCACTGGGAGCATTACCCAAGACACCCTACATCACTAACAGTCACACAACTGTGGGCTCATGGATTGGACGTGGAGCCCAGAGGGGACAAGGGCCACCCCTGAGCCCACAGCCAGGGGCATGGGGGTCTCTTGGCCTGGGCCCAGCGTTCGTCCACACCACAAGGGCAGTGGGCCTGAGCCCACCAGCTGCACCTCTGAGGCTGGCCAGCCA